TTTAAATTCCTTTTTAGTTATTTTTTCGGGGATTTTGTCATGTTGGTTTTTTTTTTTTTTTTTTTTTATTAATTTTATTTATTTTTTTATATATGCTTTTTTATATACAGTATTACCTTTTAGATTTTATACTTTAGTTTTATTTTTCCAATTAGTTATTGTTAGTTCTTCAAAGCAACATTTCTAACATTTCTGTTTGATATTTTATTTTATTTAACAAAAATATTTTGATAGTTTGTCAACAGTATAAATATTGTTTATTTTGCAGTATAAAGTAAAGAAATAACAGAAGATTAGATAATTAGATACATTTAAATTAAATTAATGAATAAGTTCAATAGGCTTCTGATTAAATTATGTATATCAGGCAATATGCATCTGAGCATAAATACATACAGTATGCATCTGATTAATGTGTATTGAATGAATGAATGAATAATTACTAAATAACGATAATAACTCTGGATCATTCAGAACCTTGAAACACTAAGCATTTAAACTTTGGCACATAATTTGTCTCTGAATGATAAAATAGGGTGAAAAAAATCCCAAAGGATGGACTTGAGCCGTATCTAAAGACCAGAACAACATGTGATGGCCTCTTTTCTGCAGTTTCAGCCTGCGGCGTTGGATCTGAAGCCTTTCTTTGACTGTGTTGTGTTGTCTTCTCTCTCTGCAGGTGGTTCGAGCCGTTTGTTATCCAGTGGTTGGATGAAAATGAAGACGTAGCGATGGATTTCCTCAACGGAGCTCTGGAGAGAGATAAAAAAGATGGGGTGAGTTTTTCGCATAGTTACTTTGCTTCAGTAGAGCTTTGCATTTGTAAATTGGCAAACAGTCTAACGCCGCAGTTACCACCTAAACGTCACATTAACACTAAATGCTGCATTTCTCTTCTACCTTCATGATGCTTTTATGAAGAGCTCCTGCGAAGTTCCTACTTATGAGTTTTAAAATTGTAATTATGATGGTCAGGATGAAATGAATGCATTGGATGAGTTTATTTCTTACTCTGGTTTTTACATCCCAGCAAAGACAGGACACGGTTTAGTGCCGCAACAAAATGAAGTGCAAAGGATTCACTTTGGATGTACGATAAATGCTTTATTTCTGTATTAATCCTTCTCATTCTGCACTTATAATAATGGGAAATGTCACCTGTCTCCTCATTAACCAACAATTAGCACAGGTTTTGTGTTTCTTTTTGGAACTGATTGATCGTATGCACCGCTTTTTAATTAGACATGCGGATACAAACAAACGCTGCTTTTGTAACATTAGAAATCTCTTTACTGTCACTTTTGATCAATGTAATGCATTGCTGAATTGAAAGTATTAAATTAAATGGTAACACTTTACAATAAGGTCCCATTAGTTAATGTTAGTTAAACCATTAACTAACATTGAGCAATACATTTGTTACAGTATTTATTAATCTTTGTTAATTTATTCATCTTTGTTAATAAAAATACAGTTGTTCATTGTTGGTTCATGTCAGCTCAGGTACATTAAATAATATTAACAAAACAACTTTTGATTTTAATAATGCATTAGTAAATGTTGAAATTAACATTTACAAAAATGAATAAATTCTTTAGAAGTATTTTTCATTGTTAGCACTATGTAGTTAGCTTATGTTAACAAATAGAACCTTACTGTAAAGTGTTACCAATTAAATTAAATTAAAGTAGTTTTGATTAAATTATTATTAATAATAATACAGAAATATTAATAAATAGTAGTAATAATAATAATAAATTAATCAAATTGTAAAAATCTTACTGGCCCCAACGTTTTGAACGATAGATGAAAAGAGCATAAAAAAGGTAATAAAAAGTCAGTTGTTTTGGTGAATTAAAAATGACAGTATTTTCTGTTTTTGGTGACATATTCTGTAAACAATAGAAAAAATTAAGCCATTCTGGGGTCTTTAAATCGCTATTGAAGAACCATGACGTGTTTGAGTGAAACTTGCCAAAATTGCCAAAAAATGTGTCAGAAAAAGAAAAAGAAATACAAAACATGTGCTAACTGAAAGAAATATACTGAGCTGAATACAGGATTTGATGATAATACAGCATAATAAGATTCCATTTTTATTTGTCACATACATGGTTATATAGAGAATATATGACCAGCAGTGAAATGTAAGTAATTTGAGTATTTGTAAGTAATTAAGAGATTTGCAAGCCATTTTAAAAAGGCTGAGCATATAAGCATTTGAACAGGTTTATAACCATTTCAGTTTCAGTAAGCTCTCTCTTTAGATCCGAGGAGGAATATTAGATATATTTTTTCTTTAATGACTTTTGCACTGTGAATTTATAGAGAAGTGCATGTGCGATGTGTTTTCCTCTCAGCACCGACACAATCAATGAAATTAGACATGTGGATAAACTGTTAAATTGAAGGCATTAGGCTGACGAGTGTTCGTGAAATAACCGAACAAACACTTTTGATTGTACTGATGTGAATATGAGCTGCTGTTACTGTACAGCAGCACAAAAACACACTGCTCAATGTTCCCCTCGCTGACGAAAACAAATCAGATGTTTCATGGTTTCATTTGCTAATTGCATTCACCTGAAAAACACAAATCTTTTAGTGCTCATAATATCGGCCAATGCCGTGACGAACGGCCGCGTTATTATATGTGATATGTGACACTGACAAATATAATTGTACATGAGTATTTCAGACACAGACACAGAAACAGTATGTTTTTCCCCCTAGCGTTTATAGTTTTTTGCAGGCAGTGCTGGTGCTGAGATGACATGAGTGGAGCAGGTTGCTAACTGTGTTTAGATGTTTAGCTGCACTCGGGTTCAAGTCTTGTGAGATTCAACTCTACATTAAGATGCTAATGGAGCAGCACCTCAGTTAATTGTCTGATGATTATTAGGCTTGTGTTTGCTGGCAGAAGCGCCTGGAGAATAAGGGCAGAAGCGCAGGTTAATTGTGTCGTAGGTTATGTTGGCAGGCATTCCCAACGGCTGTGAATCAGACCAGCGCTGGCTGCTGAAAAACATCTTCAGTGCTTCCTGGCAGCATCTGAGCTTCAGGTCTTCTTATCAAGAACCAGTATCATACGAAATATTATTATGGTTTAAAATAACTGCTTTAAACTGTAATTTATTCCTGTGATCAAAGCTGTATTTTCAGCATCATTACTCCAGTCTTCAGTGTCGCATGATCTTCAGAAATCATTCTAATATACTGATTTGCTACATTTCTGATTATTATCAGTGTTGAAAACAGTTATGCTGATTCATATTTTTGTAGAAACCGTGATGCATTTTATTTTTCTGGATCCTTTGATGAATAAAAAGTTTAAAAGAACAGTATTTAGGTTTTATATCTATATCTATTTTCTTTCATACGGTCTGTACTCTGTACCCATTCTGAATAAAAGTATTAATTTCTCTCTTTCAAAAAAATAAATCAAATCAAATCAAAAAAATAAATAAATAAATAAATTTGTGCCGATATTATATATATATATATATATATATATTTGTGCCGATATTATATATATATATATATATATATATATAATTTTTTGGCAAGTGTGATAATGTACAGTCAGCCACTGATTATAAAATAATAGCTAAATAAATTCTGGTTTGAAGATTTTTTATTTGAAATAAAAATATTTTGTAACATTATAAATGTCTTTACTGTCACTTTTGATCAATTTAATGGCTTGTTGAATTGAAAGTATTAAAACAATAAATTAAATAAAAAATTAAATCTTACTGACCTCAAATTTTTTAACATAGTGTATAGTGCCTGGAAAGGAGCATCAAAAAGCCATAAAACGTATATTGTTTTGGAGTGACTCTAGGTTACTAACATTAAAGAGAATTAAAGTTCATTACATTTCATTTTTGGGTGGCATATTCTATGAACAAAGGAACCAATGAAGCCATTCTGGGATCCTTGAAACACTACTAGCACATTGAAGCACCATGCTAGAACTTAATGGAAACCTGGAATCAGTCTGTAAAACCTTTCTTGATCCTTTTTTTCCAGTATTTAGCAAATGCTGAAATTATGGGAAACATACAATGATCAAATTGTTGTGATATGCTCATTAATGCTTTGATTGTGGTGTTTTGATTGCAGTTCCAGCAGACATCAGAGCATGCTCTCTTCTCCTGCTCGGTGGTGGATGTGTTCACGCAGCTCAATCAAAGCTTTGAGATCATCAAGAAGCTGGAGTGTCCGAACCCTCAAGCTCTCGCTCACTTCATGCGCAGGTTTGCAAAGGTAAGACAGAATCAGAATAGAAAGGATGAGGCTGTGCATTGGTGATTTGACCATGCAAAGAAGAGTGAAACCCCTTAGATGTGTAAAATCTATGCAACTCACAGTCAGCATTTATGATGAAAGAAGAGACCAAAGAATTGCATGTATTAACAGTAATAATAATCACAATAAACCGTTCTTCCGCCAAGCATTATTACTTTAACTGTAGGGTGTCGTACGGTTGCCAGGCAGCCGAGAGCATAAAATGATGAACAAATGATGGAGAAGAGCTTTGAAACAGAAAAATGCAAACCTGCATCGGCTGAAAGATAGGGCACATTTTTCGGTGGTTTTTGCACCATTACGTGATTTTATTTAAATGTCAAGTATGACTGGTATCGCCAAAAAAAAGAACTGGAAATATTATTTGATCCAAGGTTGTCATGTCCGGCAGATTATCAAACGAATAGAGCAATGTTTTAAATATGTTCACAAAAGCTGCATTTATTTGATCAAAAATGCGTTAAAAACAGTGAAATATTATTGCAATTTAAAAATAATAGTTTTCTATTGTAATATATGTTAAACTGTAATTTATTCCTGTGATATAAATCAGAATTTTCAGCACCATTACTCCAGTCTTCAGTGTCACATGATCTTCAGAAATCAGTATAATATGCTGATCTGCTGCTCAAGACACATTTCTGATTATTATCAATGTTGGAAACAGTTGTGCTGCACAATATTTTTGTGGAACCTGTGATACTTATTTCTCCGATTCCTAGAAAGTTCAAAAGAACAACAATTATTTGAAATAGAAATCTTTTGTACAATTATAAATGTCTTTACTGTTACTTTTGAGAAATGTAATGCATCCTTGCTTAATGAATGTATTAATTTCTTGAAAATATTTTACTGACTTCAACCATGGCTTATAGGTGTCTCTGAAAATTAGTAGTATTTTAACATCAACTTTAAGGAGTTAATTTAAATCATCAGGTGCATGTGTTTACTTACTATTTACAGTGTTTTACGCACCTTGTGAGCAGTGAAAAGCTCATCACCTCTAGCAGGAAGTGACAGGGTTCGGATAAAGGGCTGAAGATGGATTTACTGAAGGTTTAGAGCAGGTTTGCACTGAGTGGATTAACCTTCATGACTTACTAAACATCACATCGTGTGTATGTGAGCGTTTTGTTTGAGGGGCTGCATGTAGAAGGTGAACAGGAACATCTGAGATTGATAGTAAATCCTTGTTTGATCAGATATACAGACATCCTCAGTTCAGCTTAGACACAATTCAGTCCAGAGTGATTTATTGGTTCCTCACAATACAGCCGACATTTTCGATCAATACCCAAACTGAACTGGGAGGATCAGTAATAAACCGCAGAATGTAATAATGAGCAATAGACGAGATTAATTATGTTTGAGCACATAACTAAACATATAAGCAATAGTAATAGTGATGCTTAATTTAGAAAACACCACAAATGAACACATCTACTTATAAATATGGTGATGACCAGCTAATCTATTTTTTTCTATTGTAAATGTCTTTGTTGAATGCAAATGAACTGCGAAGGGCAGAGAGAGAGAGGCGTTAAGAGCAGCGCTCCTCCCACAGGATTATGGGTAAAGGGTCTTGTAGCAGGCATTGATTACTTCATGCAAACTTGACATGAGAAATCTATTACAGCGGCCTTACAAGACACATATTATTGCAGCCCTCATTAACTTATTTGCATATTTATGAATATGTTAATAGTTGTATTCCATTTCCTTGGCTTCAGGTTACTTAACTCAAAGTGCCCATACTTTTTTGACGCACACGTGTTGGCACATGGGCTACAACTGTGTATAATTTCCTTTGAAATGTTTGTAGTCATATTAAAATGCTAAAATGAATACATTTAAAAAATATTTTCAACATTGATAATAATCAGAAATGTTTCTTGAGCAGCAAATCAGCATATTAGAATGATATCTGAAGATCATGTGACACTGAAGACTGGAGTATTGATGCTGAAAATTCAGCTTTGATCACGGCAATAAATTACATTTTATTATATATTCACACAGAAAACATGTATTTTAAATTGTAATAATATTTCACATTTTCAATGTATTTTTGATCAAATAAATGCTTAGTGACCCCAAACGTTTGACTGGTAGTGAATGCACATGTGTTTTAGGTCTGTAAATAATAACAGTAACACATATCCGACTTATTGCTTTCATGAAGTTAAACTACTGTTTTTTAAAAATAATATATAATAATCTATATTTTATTCTCTTTCCAGACCATAAATAAAGTTCTTCTCCAGTATGCTGTGATCATCTCTAAAGACTTCAGCAACCATCTGAACAAGGAGAAAGTGGTGAGTCTATAAGCGGCAGGTTTACACACACACACACACACACACACACACACATAAGCTTTCAAAACCGCTTCGTCATAAAATGTCAGCGTGTTTTAAAGTCATGACCCTGTGAGTGTCCGAACATGGCTTGATCAGATTATACCGGGGACATTGCTATGGAGACCGTAGTGAGACATTAAAGTCGACTTTGATTGGACGGCTGGCAGACGCTTCCGTCTGTTTCCAACAAATAAAGTGCGAGACCTTCTCGCGTCCTCTTCTCCTTCCTCTGTGCTTTCAACTTTCCGTTCTTTGTGTAAAATGACAGCGTTCGTGGCGCTAACTCAGCGCTGCTTTTGTTCTACCTCGAATTTTTACAGTGTCTTCCTGTAATGATTATAAAAGCTTGGCACGCAGGACGTCTGTGCTGGGAAGAAAGACAGATGTATCTTTTAAGTGCCGTGACAGGACCACAGAGAGACAATCACGCGGCCTGTAATTAAAGACATATCTCTGTTCGGTCTTGGAGGATGGAGCTGCTCCTCGGGGCTCATCCAGCGCTTAATTGACAGCTCGGTTCATCCTAAGAATATCCAGATCTTTAAATGCACCCATGCCCATAAATCAGCTCTCCAGAGTTGATATACATTGTCTTGAAGTAAATTTACGAGTGTGTGAAATCACCAGCTCTTGTCAGAGAGACGATGTTCCCTCGTTTCAATTAGCGCAACGGCTTCGTATTTTAATTTCAGAGTTTCACACCTATTTGTCACACGGCTGACATGTGACCTTTAGGAAGTGTGCCGGTGCAGACAGTAAAAGCCCGTTTTAATTAGCTTATGGACTCCTGCGCTAATTACGCACTCCTACCCATCCAATTATCTCCTGGGAAGCTTATACGAGAGCGTATGGACCGCCGGATCATCTGTGTGTCAACACAAATCTGCTTATTTGACATTTACTGTAACAGACACCTTTTACCCAAAGTGCATTGCGTCTCACCTGGAGGTCAGTCGCTTTGCTCGTTTAACGCTAGTCACACTGAGCCTGAAGGTCATCTTAAACATTAGTTTACCATCAACCCGGTTATTGAGTTTGATGTTTTTAAACATTTTTGATTACAGATGTAATTTTGTACATATAAAATGTGCTTTTAATATATTTGGTTGGTGGTCTTAATACAGTCGTGATATATATATAGTATTATTATTATTATATTAATATTATTATTACACAAAAATGCTGGGTTGCAACTTTGGGTCAAATATGGACTAACCCAACTGTTGGGTTAAATTTTTAAATTACATTTTTAACCCAAAAACCCAAAAAGTCCATATTTGACCCAAAGTTGGGTTGAAACAACCCAGCATTTTTTAGAGTGTATTTTGGAGTGAAATGTGTGGACATTTTGTTATATATTGATAATTTATTAATATTACAAGATTTATAATTAAAACATGCAATGCATTAGAATTCTAATGTATTAAATTGTCCATTAGGGCAACCTGCAGAATACATTATAATATATTATTTAATATATTTGGTTGGTGGTCTTAATACAGTCGTGATAACATTTTAAAGATATTCATACTGTACATTGTAATGCATTCTTTTAATTCATTTTTCCCTAGAATCATAATAATAATAATAATATCTATATCTATATATACTTAAAATATTCGATTTTGGAGTGAAATGTGTGGACATTTTGTTATATATTGATAATTTATTAATATTACAAGATTTATAATTAAAACATGCAATGCATTAGAATTCTAATGTATTAAATTGTCCATTAGGGCAACCTGCAGAATACATTATAATATATTATGACTACAACTATTAACTATGAGTTACTATTACAGTATAACAAAACACAACTGAGTTTAAATATTATTGGATATAAGGAAACATTATGCTTTAAGGATGCAGTGACTGTGCATTAATTTCATGTATTTTCAAAAATAAATGAGTGTTTAAATACAACTCAAATATGTTCAGTTGTGTAATTCAGTCATTTTTCTGGAGAGGCAGAGGCATAGATTTTTACGTAATGAAATTCAGATTTACTGCCACTGATGAAAGTAAGATGTGCAAAATCAGTGCTCAGCATCCAGACGAATCGATGCCCGTGTGTATATATTCACAGAAGTCTTCTAGCACAAACATCTCCTTGCATTACCCAGGCGGGGGGTTTTGAAGACTGAATGTATCTGGAAAGAAGTACATGAAATATCTTGTCTATCTTTTTTCTAGCCCTGTATCCTCTTGAACAACATCCAGCAGCTCCGAGTTCAGCTGGAGAAGATGTTCGAGTCCATGGGAGGAAAGCAGGTCAGTAAACTAATCAATGATACTGCAAGACTCCACAGCAATGTTTCCCACTAACTGTCTGTGTGAGTGAAGCTCTTGAACATCCCTTGCTGTAAAGCTGCGTTCATTAATGTCTGAATTACCGTAATTATGAGTCTGATTACTTGCAACTAGAAGGTCCAACAAGTTCCAGCTTCTTGCACTTGGTATCAGGCTTCAGCAGTTGCAGCTGGTTAGTTTCCTTCATCAGCACATACTGATGTTTTTTATGTCATTGAATAGTCAGTGTTCCCCGAAGTGCTTTGTTCTTGTGTTTCTTCAATGATTCTGGTTCCAATTCCTTTATGATTCCATGATGACTCTTTCAGTTCTTGAAGAATAATTAGGCTTAATTATATACTTAGCAAATACTCTAAAATAAAAACAATGCTGTTTTTAACTAACAACTTATGTTTTATTAGTATTTAATTATTTTATTTTATTTCATTTCAATTATTTTTTGTTATATTTTATTTGAGTTTGCCAAAAAAAATGAATCAGTAAATCATTAAATTGATTCATACCGATATGAATTGAGACACATTTTTGAATCTTTTCTAAGTTTGTTTCTTCATCAGATTTGGAGAAATATAGAATTGCATCACTTGCTCAGCAATGGATGCTCTGCAGTGAATGGGTGCCGTCAGAATGACAGTCCACACAGCTGATAAAAACATCACAATAATCCACAAGTAATCCACACCACTCCAGTCCAGCAGTTAACATCTGGAGAAGACAAAAGCTGAAACAAATCCATCATTAATACGTTTTTAACTTCAAACCGTTGCTTCTGGCTAACATATGAGTCCATAACCCATAATAACACTTCCTCCAGTGAAAAAGTCCATCTGCTGTTGTTCTCTCAAAATCCAGCCACATATTTGTTTAAAATAGTTTTGGCTTGTAAACGGTGCTTGATCTGTGCAGATTTCTCTCCTGATTCAGACGAGTTGACTTTTCACTAGAGGAAGCGTTATTATGGACAGAGGATGTTTGAAGTTAAAAACATCTTAATGATGGATATGTTTCAGCTTTTGTCTTCTCCAGATGTTAACTGATGGACTGGAGTGCTGTGGATTACTTGTGGATTATTGTGATGTTTTTATCAGCTGTTTGGACTCTCATTCTGACGGCACCCATTCACTGCAGAGGATACATTGGTGAGCAAGTGATGCAATGCTACATTTCTCCAAATCTGATGAAGAAACAAACTCATCTGCAGCTTGGATGGCTTGAGGGTGAGTAAAATGTTAGCAAATTTTCACTTTTGAGTGAGCTATTCCGTTAAGAGAACCATAAAAATCATTTCATTAAAAGAAGAAAATGATTCACTGCCCCCCAAAACTATTCAAGATGAGCCACACATGTATGAATCCATTTGACATCCAGTGTTGCCATAGAAACAAAAGATTCCAAAAGATTCCACGAGTTCAACGTAGATTCTCAGAGTCGCCTCATAAATACGGTTCCCCTGCATGATGTGAACGCAACTTAACATCCCTTGTGAATTGTGCATGCGTGTTGTGACTCTTCTCTCTGTTCTCTCCAACTATGACAATGTCCTTGTTTCTTGTCGTCCCCGTCTCCTCTGGGATTCTGCATGATGTGAACGCAACTTAACATCCCTTGTGAATTGTGCATGCGTGTTGTGACTCTTCTCTCTGTTCTCTCCGACTATGACAATGTCCTTGTTTCTTGTCGTCCCCGTCTCCTCTGGGCTCTTGCACCAGGAGGAAGGGACTGTGGTCTTCTGCAAGGTGTGTGAACAGGTTTCCTCTAACATCTCTATACACCGCTGCTCTACAGAAAGAATTCTGTCATCATTTACTCATCTTCATGTCGTTCTAAACTTAAGATTTTCTGTTTTTTTGTTTGGAGCAACATTAAATGATAGCAAATGATGACACTGCTCTATGGCTGTGAATTCTGGCTGTAGTGCACGGTCCTGATTCATCCCGGTTTAACTGGCCACGTTTGAGCAGCATGAGCACTCTCACACCCATTGAAACACTTCACTTCCTGTCTCTCGTACTTCCTGTCCCGCCCCCTCAAGAGCATGCTGCACCTGGCATGAAACCTCACAAGAACGATTATCTTCAATAACTGAGGATGCTAATACTCAATTTTAAAGGGATCGTTCATCCAAAAATCATTATTGGTCATTATTTATTCACCCTAATGCACTGAAAAATAATATTTAGCCCTAAATATTATAAGATTTATGCATTTGAATTGTGTATAAAATGTGTATAAATGTGTGTGTGTGTGTGTGTGTGTGTGTGTGTGTGTATATATAGATATATCAAAATATACTAAATATACATACACAAAATATGTTTTGTAAATATATTTTTGCTAATAAAGTTTTGCTGTTTTTTGTATATTTTTGAAAATAAACTTAAAAAATATAAATATATTTTTTTCCAAAATATGTGAAAGTATATTTTGCCCTATTTCAGTCCAATGAAAATACATTCACGTCACATTTGAAGAAACACTTTATTTGTTGTCTATAATATGTAAACATGTAACACGTTTGAATAAAAATCAGCAAAGAACATACTTTACAGTGTTCCAAAAAAATTACAATATATAACAAATTAAATATTATTAAATCGTTAAATGGTTAGTATTATTAAATATTACATCTAGTTTTGATGTCTAGTAAGCTATTCCATCTATATTGTAAGATTGTAAAAGTATTTTCTTGCCCTTGAAATACATTTTGAAATATATATTGGTATATAATGATTGAATCTAAATATATTTTCAATTTCAAAAATATGTTTTATTGAGCTTCACGTTTTAAAATATATATTTAAAATATATTTTGGCCAACTTTTTTTTTACTTAATGTGATACATATTTTTCAGTTAAAAATTATGAACATGATTAAAAAATGGCTAGTAGTGGAACGAGCAATATTCAGTTAGTTAAAATATGTAATGGAAAAAAAAGAATTTATTGATGATAAATATATAAAGCTGATTATTGTTTACTAAACAGATTCAGCTTATTAGTACTGTCAGACATCTGACCCGTTTCATTGATGTATGAATGATAAATATGCATCACATTACGTTTATTAGTTTGTTTATGTTAAAACGGTGTAATCCAAATGGATTTTTATATGCAATTCAGTTACGTAAATCTTTCATTTTTAGCCCTAAATAATTATTTCAGTGTGCTTCAAACCAGTATAACATAATTTTTTTATGTGGAACACAAAAAGAAAACAAGAATGATTATTCCTTCAATTCAAAGTAAATTAATGAATAATACGCTCCAAAAATGACGAAACAGCATCATAGTGCATATGACTCATGCACATGTATATATTCCAAGTCATGTGAACACACTGTAAAATTAGGTCAAAAATGCCACATATGATGCTTTTTTGGAGCATAAAAACGTTTTTAATTCACTTTTTGCATTGCATTGCATCACTTTCCTTTGGAAAAGAGCAGCATGAACATATTTTTAACTTCTTTTGTGTTTCATGGGGCAAAAAAAAAAAGAAAGTGACAGGTTTAGAATGACATGAAGGTGATTTTCATTTTTTGCTGAACTAGCCCTTTACCGACGGCCAGCAGAGCTGTGTTTGCCTGAACTTGATTTTTAGTCATGTACAGTGTTATTTAGGATTATTTAGGATTCCAGAGTTTGGAGTTTGGAAAGTTTTCGTTCGGTCCTGATGTTTAGCTTGCACTGTTCTCAGACTCTCCGAGTTGATGCTTTTTTATAATTTTATTTTACTTTGCTTTAATCAAAATCCTCCCTGCTGGCAGAAAACCATAATGTACTGAAATCGCTGGGTAGGTTTTGTCCAGCTATAACATCCTTCAAATGAAAGATGAATAAAGGCAGATCATTTGCACGCGTGCCAGAGGTCTGTCAGATCAAGGTTAGATGTCTTACCTCTGTCGAAATGAAGGCTACAGTGCTTTAAAAAGAGTCCAGCTGTTTGAAAGTGTGACTAATTTATGAATTCTGCTTCCTTCATGAAACTCAATTCGTTCAGAGGAAGTAAAAGCCAAACGCTCCAAATATAACCCTGCTCTGGCAGCGCCACCGTTCCCAAAGCAATTAGCCAACTGAAAGAAAAATGTAATTACAGTGGCTCGTTATCATGGATTTATAAATAAATGATCCAGCACTGTCCAAGAAAAATTAATTGGGGGAGTAAAAGTTAGCTGCGATAGCGTTCACGCTGCTGACGCGGGCCGTGGGCAATAACCGCCGCGAACACACGGATCACCCGTTATCTGCTAATTAACGATGTGAGGTAGACCACAGGTACAATTTCACATCAGGATTCCCTAATTGGAATATGAATTTAGTTATAACTTACCAATAGGGCTGTGCAATTAATCGAAAAACAGTTTCGATTTCAATTTTGGCCTCCAACGATTATGAAAATACAGTAATCGAGATAAAACGATTATTGCGCCCCATTCCGCCCCCTTTTCCAGCGCTGCGCTTTCGTTCCTTCATAATTTCACGTGCAAATCAGTAAAAATCATGTAACGTGACTTTTGCAAAATGGGACGTGCTTGATTTATAGAAGTATATTTATTCATGTTTTTAAAAGCGTGAAAGAGAACTTGAAGTCATCTTTTAGCTCAAGGCGCGCGCCTAAATGGTCAAATACACGCAAAAATGTGTCAAAATGCGCTTAGTGATTATTCATGTGTACCTTCGTCAGTCATGTAATAAATGAACGTAAAGAGTTGAGAACGAAAATACGCGTGTAACGGAAAATACACGTGTAGCGGAAAATACGCGTGTAACGGAAAATACACGTGTAACGGAAAATACGCGTGTAGCGGAAAATACATGTGTAATGGAAAATACGCGTGTAGCGGAAAATACACGTGTAACGGAAAATACACGTGTAATGGAAAATACGCGTGTAACGGTAAATACGCGTGTAACGGAAAATACGCGTGTAGCGGAAAATACGCGTGTAACGGTAAATACGCGTGTAACGGAAAATAGGCGTGTAACGGAAAATACACGTGTAACGGAAAATAGGCGTGTAATGGAAAATACGCGTGTAACGGAAAATAGGCGTGTAACGGAAAATAGGCGTGTAACGGAAAATAGGCGTGTAACGGAAAATACGCGTGTAACGGAAAATAGGCGTGTAACGGAAAATAGGCGTGTAACGGAAAATACGCGTGTAACGGAAAATAGGCGTGTAGCGGTAAATACGCGTGTAGCGGTAAATATCAACGGTTTAATATCACACAACAAAAGACAAATTCAAAATCACACACTGCTCTTGAGTGAAGGACTTCTGTAGCTTTAAAAAGAAACAAAAATGTAATTCTTACAGTGAAGACTATGCTGTTTTATTTTACATTTGATTATCATTTCTGTAGTAGGCTGTAAACTGCTTGAGACTTGCATAAAAAACATTAAAGCAGTTTGTTTAATTTGTATCTTTTTATTCTATTGTATTTGTCCTTTGCTTTTTTATTACTAAAATATAATATTTAGATTTATATAAGATATATATTATATAAATTATTAATATATAATATACATATATTATTTAAATATATTGTACACTTTAATAAAAAATTATTTACAATTTAAATGAGTATTCAAGTATAAAGTGAATTTAAATCATGTATAAATATATAATGCACTATATGTCTTGTCATATTCATTACTGTATTGAGAATAAAATTTATAAAATAAAGTTTTATATTATATTTAGATTTGTAAATGTAAGCTTACTTCATACTTTAATAAAAATACTTATTTAAATTGAAACAAAATAATAAATAATTTATGATTTAAATGAGTAAAATTTTATTAATGTATAAAATAAATGTAAATCATTTATAATTATTTATATAATAACCTAAATATATTTAAATATAAAAATATAACTTTAATTACAGTAATTATGGTCATGAGAATTGAGGTGGAGATGCTGTCACAAAAATAGACTTTTCTTGAAGGACAATATAATTTCTTATTTCTTCATTTTTCAGATGAAATCATAATTTCCACACGTGTAAAGCATTCGTTGTGTTTGTGTTATCAGTCATGGCACTGCTGGCTGTCTCTGATCTCCATTAACCTGAAGAGCTCTCATCACTGATTGATCTGGCCGTAAACCATAAACGCTGTTACAATTCACAAATCAGCCATTCATCCCGAGTACATGGACGTCCTGCCTCACCCGAACACAAATACTAACAAACGTGCGAAATACAATGACTAAACACGCTAGGAATCATGGGTGAAAGCAACATGTTTTGCCTCGTCTTAAGGTGATGTTAGATCTGATAGACAGCCATAGATTATGATACATAAGCATAATCAATAATGGCTTTAATTTATAGATAATAAAAAATCCCTTAGCTGTTTTTCAATTTGTCATTTTCCGTTTAGAGGATTTTAAAATGGTCCATCTTGTCAGTAATTATGAATAGTGATTATTTTCATACGTGTAATTGACAAAGTTTGGATCAAGTTATTTATCTTATATTTTATTTATAATTTTGTATTTTATATAATATTTTTATATATCTCATATAAAATGGTATATATTTTATATTATATATTACATTGAAAGTCTATAAACATATATTTTAATTTTATTCCCTCACTTTTTGTTACAAAACAATCAAAAAAATATACACAAAATTACATATTATTTGCAAATATTCTATATTATACTACATTTTATACAAAATAAATTTTTATAATGTATAATAGCGTGTGTGTGTGTGGATATGATTTATCTAATCTAATTGAATTCATTTATTTATTGATTGTTTGTAGTAATTCGGCCCTTAGAGCATTTTAGAAGTGTAAATGACAAATTTTGTCATTTATCTCATATTTATAATTTTGGAAAGTCATTTATCTTATATTGTATTTTATATTGCATTTTTAGATTAAATTTTTTAAATTATATCTGATAAAAAAACGATATATATATATATATATTGCATTTACAGTCTATAAAAATGTATTTATTAAACTTAAAAATAAAAATACATGTATGTATTTTTATTACAAATATTTAATATATACAAAAATATGTATTTTTGCAAATATTCTTTATTTTAATACGTTTTTAAATGATAATTTTATATAATATAATATGTATGTTTTTATATTTTTTTCATTATTTATTCATTATTTATTTATTTAATTTGTTTGTTTATTGTAGTTATTCGGATTGTGTATCTGTTTACTATGCATCACTTGAAGAAGAATCTGCAAATATTGAGCATTGTTTTTCACTAGACTTTGATAAAAACAGTCAAACCAAAGGTAGAGCGGAGCTTCACGGATAGAAACCCAGCGTGCATTATGGGTAAAAGCCACGATTATGATGCAGACACGTGCCTCTGATGTGACGAGAGGCTTGTATTGAGTTTGCAGTCATCATTAGTCGAGCGATTCCTCAGTCCAGACCTTTCCAGCGGCTCGGCACGCTTGACTGAAAGCTCACTGTTCAACGGCAGAGAAAATCAGCAAACCATGGCATGGAAACAAAGCTGTCAGACGGTTCCTCTGTGTTAAAAACACAAATCATACAAGCAGGGGTCAAAATCTACTTTATTATATTCACAGGCCATAAAAATGTATTTTGCATTATGTTTTATTACAAAAAAAATAAAAAATAATGTATACATATTTTTACAGATTCACAAAATATATTTTTATGGCCTGTATATAATAAAGATTGATTGATTGATTATTAGGGATTATGTATCTGTTTTATTTAACTTACACCATTTAATGCTTTTGAATAGCGACTAAATGGCCAATAACTGCTTTATTTACTCAAAGTGAAGTTTTATTCACATTATAAAACGGATAGTTCCGGTCCTTGATTCTGATTGGCTGAGCCACGTTCGAAGCTGTTGTAAATTACTCTACAAACACACACCGTTGTTTACTTCTGCGTGTTGCTCGCCAACCACTTTGTTGCAACCACAACCGTTTCTGAGGAGCTACATTGTTTGGCAGAAGAATAATGTTTTTATTATTATCATCACATTTTATTTGCTTTGTTTTATTTTGTGAAACCTTGCTACATATGCCAACCACTTTGTTGCAACCACAACTGTTTCTGAGGAGCTACATTGTTTGGTGGAAGAATACTGTTTTTATTAATATCGTTACATTTGATTTGCTCTGTTTTATTTTGTGAAACCTTGCTACATATATGGAATAGCCGTTTTATAAAAGCAATAAGCCCCATGAAGCCGTGGTTTACAGTGAATTTATAACAGCTAAGGGCACTCGGAGTAAACCACGGCTTCTTGCTTTAATATATGCTGACTTGGCGAGTTTTGCTTTTGGACCCTGGACATGACATATAAATGAATTTTGGGATAATCAGCTGCTATTAAAGAGCAGTTTATTATTTGAGGTGTCATACAGAGGCATGTGATGTTACCGCTGAATCTTCTGCACTTCCTGTTCCTGTGGTGTGTGTCATGTGACGTGACTGACAGCGCTGTGTGTGTCTTCCAGCTGGACGCGGAGGCCAGTGAGCTGCTGAAAGAGCTGCAGAATAAACTCAATACGGTGCTGGATGAGCTCAGCGGCGTCTTCGGCTCCAGGTGACGTATGAGCTGTTGAGCCCGAGTAAATTAGTAAACCACGGCTTCTTGCTTTAATATATGCTGACTTGGCGAGTTTTGCTTTTGGACCCTGGACATGGCATATAAATTAATTTTGGGATAATCAGCTGCTATTAAAGAGCAGTTTATTATTTGAGGTGTCATACAGAGGCATGTGATGTTACCGCTGAATCTTCTGCACTTCCTGTTCCTGTGGTGTGTGTCATGTGACGTGACTGACAGCGCTGTGTGTGTCTTCCAGCTGGACGCGGAGGCCAGTGAGCTGCTGAAAGAGCTGCAGAATAAACTCAATACGGTGCTGGATGAGCTCAGCGGCGTCTTCGGCTCCAGGTGACGTATGAGCTGTTGAGCCCGAGTAAATTCCAGAGTGGAAATTAGTCACACAAATTAAATGTTATCGTTACACATATTTGATTGGATGCTGAGGCTATTATTGATTCACAGCTTAGATTACATCAATAGAGGTGAAGAAAGTTAAAGAAAGCAGAATAATATGCACTGAAGAATCATTTATAATAAGATATGTGACATGTTGCTTTCTGTGATTAAAAAACATAGATATACAAATTAGCTCGAATGTTATTTTATGTTGAATGTATTTCATTTATTTATTTTATTTTATTTATGTTAATGCATTATAATTTATAAAATAATATAAAAATATTTTATTGGGCCTTTATATATTTTAAAGTAGAGCTAAAATAAAATATGCAACATGCATGGAGAAAGTAAATCTATTTTCCATTAATTGACTTTTATGACTAAAAGACATAGATAAAAAATGTTAAAAAAATTTTTTATTTTATTATAATTTATAATAAATTTGATTAGATTTTTTTATTACGTTTTCATTATTTTATTTTATTATAATTTATAATAAATTTGATTAGATTTTTTTAATGACTTTTTAATTATTTTATTTTATTATAATTTATAAAATAAAAATATTTTTATTGAGGACCTATATATTTTATTTTATAGTTAAAGGCAGATTAGCTTGAATAATAAAAATCACAGTTTTATTTGAGTTAATTAATTATTAAAAATAATAAAATATTTTAATTTATTATAATTCATAAAATAAAGCAAAATAAAATATTTTTTATGAAGGATCTTTATATTTTATTTTATTTACAGTTAAAATAAAACATTTAATGAAGGTCTTATATACTTTGTACACCTGAAATAAAATATACCTGCAACATTTATAAAGAAAGTAAATAGGATTCATTTTCTGTTAATGTTTCTGTTCATGTTGCCTTCTGTGATTCATATACGCAGACATACAGAGTAGCTTGAATTATAAAAAATGCAGTTTCATTTTATTTTATAAAAATATTTTTATGGGGGACTTTTATATTTTATTTTATAGATACATAGACAAACAGAAGAGCTCGAATGATAAAAATGTGTTTAACATGTCATTCTCAACCGAATGCTAGTATGAATGTTGTTTTTAAAGACTACTTTTTCTGAGATTTTAGCAGAGGTGTTTGTGTTGCACATCATAGAAGACAATGTTAGCATCCGATAATTTTAACTGTTGGAGAAAACTGGTTAATTTGAAGCTTTTTTGCGCTATTTTCATATTCCGGGTTTAAAATCTACATTGTGTTGACGTCACAATTTGTGACGTGGCAATGGACTAATAGTACATCGATGACGCGTCGGTGTCTATTAAATTATTCATGAGACTGCATGTTCTTATCCTATGAGAAGACGCTTCGCTTAATTATTCACAACAGCATGTGCTGATTTGCTAGACATTTCAGTCTGTGAGATGACATCCCACACAATAACTGAGAGAAACATTCATGGATCGAAGAAGAGTGTTTGTTTGAGTTCGGCACAAACACGATTCATTCACTTGGCGAGCATAACCGTTTTTACAGCTCTGTAACACAACCTGTCAAAAGACTTATATAAACGCCACAGAATAAGCCTTAAAAGTTCTCAGAGGTGCAACAGCGCGTTCATATATATGTTTTCGATGCAGAGTGCAAATGGCTGTGCAGTTATTTGTGTTTCGGAATGAAAGTGTCAGAACGCTAAGCTGTGTGTGTGTTGTATGTCTCCCCTCTTCCCCCTCCTCCGCTCCGCTGCACACCACGCCCACTTTTTCAGCATTTTTTAAAACTGTGGTGAGAAGTAACCAGTGCTGAAACGGGGTGTTTCATGACCCTTTAAGGTTTCAAACTAATTTGAACATGTTTATCTGCAGTTTCAAGTTGGTCATTGAGGACTGTGTCAAACAAATGAACCAGGAGCTGATGCAGATGAAAGGAAACGCAGGGAACAAGAGTAACGCAGCCATGGACGCAGAGACCGTCCTGAGACCCCTCATGGACCTGCTGGACAAGAAGTAAGAAAATGCAGAGGTACATCAGTTGAAAGGCCAGTTGCATTTCTTTCTTTCACGCTATCCCTCTTTTTTCTCTCCAGCCTAATTCTGTTTGCCAAGATCTGTGAGAAGACGGTTCTCAAACGGGTCCTGAAGGAGCTGTGGAAGCTCGTGCTCAACACCATCGAGCGACAGATTGTTCTTCCACCGCTCTCAGACCAGACAGTGAGTGTAACACGTCTGTCAGCCAAACACACACACACACACACACACACACACACACACACGTGTTTGAACACGACCCAAAATGAGAAGTAACTGGTTTAATAATCAAGCCTCTGAATGCAAACGAGTGCATCAGATTGTAGATGGGAGCGAGGCATGTTCAGTTTAAAGAGTTGTTTCCATCCTGACAGAGAGAGGAACGGCAAACAGGCTGTGATTGACAGGGAGTTTTATGTTTGTCAGATTTCGAGGGCATCAGCACTAGTTATCCGTTATCCTCAGAAATTACTGCAGCGCTTTCATGTAGCTCCCGTTTTGCTGAAAACGGTTTCCAGCTTATGCTACGGCTTTGCAGCTGTCCGTCAAACGCTGCCCGTTTACATCATTCCGGTCTCTCTGGAATCACGCTGGAAAACTTTCCTGCTTCTGCTGGTGTAATTATATCCGCCCTGCTGTGGAGTTTAAGTCCAGAGAAGGACGAGCGCTTTGGATCTGAGCAGGTGTCAGACAGATGGAGAGCTTCTCATCATTATGTATCCAGATACTCTCCGTCTCAGTTGTCCCTCTCTCTGTCTCATTTCATATGCATTGAAACATCTCTGCTCAATTGCTGCTTTACCTCGAAATGCTTTTTTCTGGCTCCTGTTCTCTGTGCTTCAGTAATTGTGTGTAGAATTCAACCGCTCTGTTTCTAAACCCAGTGAACGGCGTTGCTGTCTATGGCTTAAACAGTTATATGCGACTGCCTTAAAACTCATAACAAGTGAGTTTTGAAGCACTCTACTCTTATGTGCACAAGAGAATCAACTCTAGTTATTGTTTCTAAGTGATCTAAGAGTTCTAAGAAGTCTCTTCTGCTCACCAAGGCTGCATTTATTTGATCAAACATACAAACAAAATAGTTTTATTGTGTGTATATTTAGTGTTGTGTATTATTTCTGTCACCTTTTTATTGTAAATGTGTTATGGTTATTGGCTTAATTCTACTTCTCTGTGCAGCACTTTGGTCGGCTTTGTCATTTTTAAATGTGCTATATAAATAAATTAAACTGAAACGGAAACATACAGTAAAAACAGTTCAATATTATTTCAATTTAAAATAAGTTTTCTATGTGAATATATTGTCAAATGTAATGTATTTCTGTGATGTGCAGCTGTATTTTCAGCATCATTACTCCAGTCTTCAGTGTCACATGATCTTCAGATATCATTCTAATATGCTGATTTGCTGCTCGAGAAACATTTCTGATTATTATCAATGTTGAACACAGTTGTGCTGCTAAACATAATTTTGTGAAAACTGTGATACATTTTATTTTTCAGGATTCTTTGATGAATAGAAAGTTCAAAATATCAGTGTTTATTTGAAAAAGAAATCATTTGTAACATTATAAATGTCTTGACTGTCACTTTTAATCAATTGAAAGCATCCTTTGTGAATAAAAGTATTAATTTCTAAAAATATATATATATATATATATATATATATTTAAAAATCTTACTGATCTCAGACTTTTAAATGGGAGTAAGGATTAGTTAAGTAACCTCAGTTAATTTGTCTTGTTTTCCAGTACAATTATCTAAACATTCAAGATTCATTTACTTGAAAAGCAAAAAGATATAGTCTTGTTTTCTGAAAAAAAGAGTCATAATTAAGTGAGTTTAAGAAAAATAACTTAGTTTAAAAAAAAAAAAACAAGATTATTTTTCTGACCCCTCTGGCAAATATTTCTTATTGTTTTAAGCAAAAACTCTCTTCATTTTGATCACCTTTTCAGAAAACAAAAATAATTTTGCTTCTCAAGTAAATGTATCTTGATTTAGGAATGCTAAAACAATTGTACTGAAAAACAAGACAAAAATTCAAAAATATTTAAAGTTTTCACTATTATACTAATTACTTTATTATAATAAAGTGTTTTTTATTGCATTGTACATCCAGTGAGGTTTTATGAAAGTGCAGTAACATTTAACACAAGATGAGTGATAAAATGTGCGTTGGGTGCTGTTTGACCTCTAGAGTGTATTTGTGGATGTGTCGGTGTGCAGCGAGTCTGAATGTGTGTGTACTGACCTGAACAGAGGTTTGTCAGTGGACGTACGGGCCATTTTAACACCTGATCAATACACTCGCTCGAAGTGCTCGCATCTCTAAAAAGGTGACCTTAAGCTGGGAGAAGTCAATGGACAGAATCAGCTCTTTCTACTCAAAAACACACACGTGAAGTTACACTGATTTGATGTGGATTAATGCTCACTCACACACCGCCCTGTTATCACTCTCAGGCTTATTTGTATTAAACTTTGCACCGCCACTGACCTGTAAGATTAAATGAAATTGAAGTTTCACTACCTGACTTCTCGTCTTGAATCATGGTGAGGCCACAGAGTCTTCTGGGAACTGTCACCTTTGATTCTAATGAGCGGTAAGAAGCTCCAAGAAAAGCTCATTTGACCTCTAAATGCCCTATACATGCAAAACTCATATTAAAACACTAAATGCACACTAGTCATCCTTATAAATCCTGAGATTTTGCGTTTGTGTTTTACCTGAATCTTCCAGCTAATGTCATGGGCAGGGTTCTGGTGTTGAAATTAACTGGAGAGAACTTTTGAAAACAGTTGGTATTAAGGCATTTTAGAAAAAAAATGAAAGAAGCAAACTAGTAAACATGTCAAGCAAATCTAAATGCTCAGAGCCATTTTATGCATTTTATTTTATTTTAGCTATGAATTGAAATATATAAGTAATATAAATAATATAAAAGAAAATATTTTATGTTTATAACTAAAGCAAAATAAAATGAAATAATACATTATAATAATTTATTTAATAAAGGGCTTATATATTTTATTTTATAGATAAAATAAAAAAAAAATGGAGGGCATACAGTATATATATATATAAGATAAGATAACAACAGCAAACATGTTAAGCAAATCTGAACGAGTCTTTTTTTGCATGGTATTTCATCAAAATTGTTTAACCATGAGGTAGTTTGCATAGCTCAACCAGCATTGGAAATAGATGGAGGAAAGGAGCTTCAGTACATTTGAATGTAAATCACTCTGTCTTTCTCTGTTTGTCTCAGGAGCATGTGATCCGGGAGGAAGCTCGCAGTCTGAGCCCTCGACAATGTGCCGCTTTGGATTTAGTGCTTCCCACCATCAAGGTATCGGCTTCTCGCTCTTCTTCTGCTCTGATTCTCCAATTTTAGGGGCCAGTTGCATGAACTGCTGCTCAGATCGGTGTTACAAGTCAAACACCTGGTTTTAAATTCATCTGCATAAAAATATAGCTTAGTTTAAGTGGAGGCGGAAAATTAAGACCGATTATCATTAGACTAACTGCTAGTATATGCAACAGTTTTTATAGTTATGCACACAGACTGTTCACATACCAACTGCTACTTATTCCACTCATAAAAAGAGACTCAAAACTGCAATATCATATCCGGTCTATGGATTTTGTTCTGTGATTGTGTACTTGATGCTTTCAGTTCCTCTCCAGGCCTCTGGAGGGCGATGTGATGCATGCAGAAACTCGAGCGTTTATGAGCAATTTCATGCAACTTAAACATTCTCCTTTTTCCTGAATATGCATCAGGTTTAAGTGATGATTTGAAGCCAATTTGCCACCTCCGAACCACATTTTCTTCTAGTTGAAGTGCATGGAATAGAGTCAGATTAGATCTGACCTTGATTTTATTTACCTGCATCACAAATGCAAACACACACGTGTGAGGTGAGTATGGTGTGATGATAGGGCTGTCAAAATGGCTGAAAAACTAAATTCAAATTTTGTACTTAAATATTATCAATATTCGAATTCTATTCGAATTTAAAAGGCATAATTTCAGTTAGGGGGAAAAAAGCTTTTGGCTTCTCTCTTGAGGCCACAAGAGGGCGCATCAAACAAAATATTACTAATGCACATTTCTTCAAAGCATAATAAAATAACACGACTGTCTTTGAAAAAAGTGCATAATGTTTAAAATAATGTTTATAAACCTTATATAATTAAAGTTGCTTAAACAATTAGAAACAAAACAGAATCATGCATGTATGTATAGTTTAATACAAAGGACCGAAAACCAATCACAAAGAGTACTTTCTTCATTTAAAAACTTGAGATGCAGTGGGATAGGGAAAACCGCCATAAAGTCTTGAGACATGTTTTTAAAAAGTTGAACTTACATTAATTTTACATAGCTTTATAAACATGCTGCTCTCTTGTGCGAGACGTGAGTGCAACGCTGATAGATGTCCCTCTAGAAAATGTGATACATGTGTGTTCTGTGTGAACGGCTTGGTTTCGGTTTTGACGTAAACAACATCATCTCCGCTTTGATGTTCTTTTTTCCCGCAATATTTTGAATGAACAACGTAGCAGCGCAGCATCTAGTGGCTTCAACTGGATAGACTAACAAAAGCATTAAAATGCAATGACACTTACATCGTCGTCGCATTTCGTGCGCCACTGATAAGGCTGCCTGACGCACACCTAAAATTAGAATGCAACGTAAATTCGACGAATATTCAAAATTCTAAAAAAAATTTGACAGCCCTAGTATGTGATGTTAGTTGTGGTGTAAATGTGCATGTGAGCTGCACATACATGCAACATCAGAGATATTATTGATTCCTTCATCTCCGTGGAAACGCACGCTGTTGGGATCAGTCATGGACTGGGTATTTCGCTCATTGGTATTCTGAGGACTGAAGCTAATTAGGGAAGTTCACAAAAGCCTTGAGTAAAATGTTGCCGATGGAAACGACTGCACGCAGAGATGAGCTGAGGAGTCTGTGCTCAACAGCAAAGATATCTGCTGAGATTAATGAGAATAATAATTTATGTGTGAGAGGGAAGAAAAGAGACAAACAGATAAAAAGAGAGAGAGGAGAACAATCAGCATCTGATGTCTTTGTTTTGAGGTCTTTTTAAACATGAATGAATCAGTGAATCAGTGCACATCAAAATATAACTTTTCATTTAATATTTTCCATTAACATATCTAAACATTATTTTTATTGTTTATTTATTTTAATGCTAAATAATAGATAGGTAGATAGTCAGATAATATTTACAAATTAAATTAATAATATTGTAAGTCTTATTTGAAGAGAATATTATGTATCTTGAATTACATTTATTTTTATTAACTATTTATTTTATTTATTATTTAATAATTATTTTATTTATTTAAATAAAAAATGTTTTACCACATATTTAGATAGATATACATGAACAATGCTATACAAATAAAAAACAAATATTATTTTCTATTGTTTTTTTTATATATTTATTTTATTTTATTAAGGTCAAAGTGAAGGAAAAGCTATATTATATTCAAAATATGCAAAACAACAGAAATGCTAAACAATAGTTATAAACATTCAATAGGTAGATATTCAGATGGATAAATATTTAGAAAGATAAACATTATTAAAATAAATAAATATTATTTTAAGACTTATGTGCCGAGAATATGATATATCTTAAATTCAATTTGTGTGTGTGTGTGTGTTTTAAGCATAAATCTCATACATGAGACAGGCAAAAATTATAACTATTAAATAAATTATCGAATTATTCTCTGAATGCAAGTCTTATTATCTTATGCAGCTTTGCAAATAAATTAATTTAACTAGTTTTAAGAATATTTAGCATATTTTGCGTCATTCGCGTCGCGAATTCGCCTCTATTCGCGTCTTTGCGTTGACTTTATATGTAATCTACTGTAATACTGATATGATCAGAACACGAAAGCACATGGAACATATAAACATGATCCTTAAATGCGCAATAGGAGATCTTGGAAAATGCTAACTTTAGCCTGATAGCACTGAAAGCGAATGTCCCACCCTCCGTGCAATCGCCGTCCAAAGCCACGCCCCCTGAATGCATATACACTCACTCACAGACATGTATTTCCCCCGCTCAGTGAGGAGGGAGCAATGAACACTGTGTAGGGATCATATCGATCAGAACACAGTTCATGCACGTAGCTCACTTCTAACGAGCTGGTTATCTGAATCGGACCGAGCGTTTTGATTGGACGAACATTTCTTGGTCCGACGCCTTCCACAGAATATATAAATACAGATGAATACATTTAGACCACTTAACTTAATGATTGCTATCGGGATGTGAAGAGACTTTCAACCAGCACAACAAAAAATGTTTCTGAAGACAATCACCTATTGCACCTTTAATATGTGCACTGAACAATCTGCTGCTCTGATGAGTTTCACCAAATTTTGTTTATTCTTTATTCTGTATTATTACCAAAGTGATGCTCGTCCTGACCAATCAATACAGCCGACAAACCACATCAGCCATTCATCATCGGATCAATTAGAGTCCAGCTCACAGCCAGAGGCCTTCATCAGCAGACAATGAGAGGCTGTTTACTGGATTTCATCACACAGACGCTGAAAGGACTGAGAAAGAGCCAACAAACTGAAAAAGATAGATAGATAGATAGATAGATAGATAGATAGATAGATAGATAGATAGATAGATAGATAGATAGATAGATAGATAGCATATATTATTATTATTTAAATTTTTTTCCAAATATTGATTTCAAAATCTACAAAATGTAGCCAAAAACATATATTTTTTTTTTTTGCTGAAATATGTTTCAAAATATATTTATGTAAATATGTCTAACAATATATTTTTGGCCAATATTTATTTTGTAATTTTTGGGAAGAAAAAAAAAATTATATATATACAGTATATTCATTTTTTATGCATTTAAAAATAAATTTCCCCCTCCATATATTTCAATCCAAGAAAATACATTCATGTCACATTTGAAGAAAAGTTTTATTTGTTGTCTGTAATGTGTGTAATGTATAACACATTTAAATAAAAATAAATAATGAATAAAGCCTAAATGTAGGCTATAAGATTGGAAATGTATTTTCCTGCCCCCAAAAATATATTTTGAAATATATTTTGGTATGTGAAGGTTGAAACTAAATATATTTGCAATTTTAAAAATACATTTCATTGAGTTTCATTGTTTCCATCATGTATTTACCATATATTAAAATCTATTTTGGCCAGAAAAAAAAAAAAAAATATATATATATATATATATATACTGTATATTTTCGGAAAATTGTATTGGAAGCGTAATTAATTTTTTAATTTTGACTCGAGTCCCATTCGTTTACATGGAGAGGGCGGGGTTTATGACCTGTACTGCAGCCAGCCACCAGGGGGCGATCAAAGAGCCCGCAGCTTCACTTTTCAGGACGTGTGAGGCACACCCGGTACCGACCCAGTAACAGATTTTTTTCTGCGACATAAATAGTTGAAAATTGGTCACTTATTAGGTTGCATTTCAATTAGTATGCTGCTTCAGAAGCATTATTTATATACTATTATTGTATTTATTAATATTTCGAATTAACTGTTATTGTTATATATATATATATTTTTTTTTTATTTAGTCATTTTTATTATTTTTGAGTTTTTAATATTTATATTTAGCTTTATTTTCTATTATAATTTATAATTGTATTATTTCAGTTTTAGTGTTTTTAGTACTTCATCTTTTTTGTTTCAATTTGTTTACATTTTTCATCTAATATTAATATTTTATTTCAGTTTGATTAATACAAGAAATTATTAAATACATTTTAGTTAACAACAACACTGTTTGGAAGGCAGTAGCTTATGTAGACATAAACAGCAAGGCAGCTCACTAGGTTTTGGTACAGAGCCACTGTATCCCACAATGCAATTGACTTTCCATTTCCATTGTGACCGGTGAACCAGAAGCCGTACTTCTTTCTGACTCATTATTTTATTGTTCTGCCAACAGACAGTAAGTTTGGCAAACTATTAATAAGTTTAAGATAGTAAATTAATTTAACTTGTTCAACTTGTGTTAAACATGCAACTGTGAGGTCATGTGACAACCATAAGTTTATATGATACAAACACACACACACACACTCTCTCTCTCTCTCTCTCTCTCTCTCTCTATCTATCTCTATCTCTCTGTGTGTCGCTCATTTTTGTTCGTTTTTTGTTTTATTGTTCTGCCAACAGACAGTAAGTTTGGCAAACTATTAATAAGTTTAAGATAGTAAATTAATTTAACTTGTTCAACTTGTGTTAAACATGCAACTGTGAGGTCATGTGACAACCATAAGTTTATATGACACGCACACACGCACACACACTCTCTCTCTCTCTCTCTCTCTCTCTCTCTCTCTCTCTCTCTCTCTCTCTCTCTCTCTCCTGAAGCCAAAGGCTGCAGACAGAAAATGATTTCTGTGTGATGCACAGTTTTGTGTGTGTTAAGTTGAGAATGTGTTTACTTCCCCGTACACTGTTTATAATTCATCAAACTTTACGTTCGGAGTTATTCATCACTGCAGTTCTGGGGTGTTCTGTCGGAGCAGGTGATGGATATCTGGGCTCTTGTGGTTCAGATGGAGAATCTCGAGGGATTTTACACAGCAGACACATCACAGTCACACTTACTTTTTTATTTTTTTTTGCACTTCCACGAAAAGCATCTTTAAACTGGGCAAAAAACTGAATCTAACAGCATTATATATATTTATACACTGGCGGTCAAAAGTTTGGAATAATTATGATTTTTTATGTTTTTGAAAGAAGTCTCTTCTGCTCACCAAAGCTGATCAAAAAGAAAGCACAACTGTTCTCAACATTGATAATAATCAGAAATGTTTCTTGAGCAGCAAATCAGCATATTAGAATGATTTCTGAAGATCATGTGACACTGAAGACTGGAGGAATGATGCTGAAAATACAGCTTTGATCACAGAAATAAATTAAATTTTTAGAAAACAGTTATTTTAGAGTGTAAAAATATTTCACAATATTACTGTTTTTACTGCAGTTTTTACTTAAAAAATGCAGCCTTAGAGAGCAAAAGAGGCTTATTTTAAACACATAAAAAAACGTAATTATTCTAAATTATTACCTCCAGTGTGTGTGTGTGTGTTATTATTATTATTATATATATATTCACCTGTTATTTATATAGATACCTTACCATATTAGTA